CTCCCCGCTGGCCTGCCGACGGGGACGAGCGATTCGAAACTCGTCCGCGCCCTCAAGACAGGGTCTCCAGGAATCGGATTTTTTGTGAGTTTTGGAGAGTTTGAAGTTCGAAACTGTAATCAGGGCCACGGAAAGGCCCCAGAATGACGGAAACATGGGGGGCCAAGTTCTGGGTGGACGCTGCCTTTAAAGAAAAGAGGCAGGACGAACATGGTCTCGTTGAGAGAAAGGACCAGGAACCTTATGGGGCACGAACTTATTCTTAGGAACTGCAAGGCTTCATGGACAAATTTTGAAATATTGTCGAAAACTCCCAGGTTTTTCCAATGAGAAAATCCCACTTTTGTTCACAATAACAGAACAGTGTGAACATGGTCTCTCTGGCAGAAAAGACCACGGACTTCATGCGGCACAAACTTTTTCTTAGGAATTACAAGGTTTCACAGACAAATTGCGAGAAATTTGTTGAAAAATACTTCTTTCTTTTTCACTGAGAAAATCCTACTTTTTCCCCAAAAATAAAAGAACAGGGCGAGCATGGTCCCGCTGGCAAAAAAAACCAGGAATTTTGTGGGGCGAAATTTTTTTGGGAGTTTCCAAGCTTTACTGACAAAATTTGATCTCGAAAAGACTTTAGGTTTTTTCACTGAGGAATTCATACTCCTGCCCAAACAGAAAAGATCAGGGTGAGCATGGTCCCGCTGGCAAAAAAGACTAGGGGCTTCGGGGAGCGAAATTTTTTTTAGGAGTTCCAAGCTTTACTGACAAAATTTGATGTCGGAAGAACTTTCAGTTTTTTTCTCACTGAGGAACTCTTACTTCTGCTCAAAAAAAGAGGGGCCAACACGGTCTCGTTGACAAGGACCAGGGACCTTATGCAACACGAACTATTTCTTAGGAGTCTTAAGGTTTTACAGCCAAATTGCGAGAAATTTGTTGAAAAATACTTCTTTCTTTTTCACTGAGAACCTACTTTCTCCCCAAAAATAAGAGAGCAGGGCGAGCATGGTCCCGCTGGCAAAAAAAAAACCAGGAACTTTGTGGGGCGAAATTTTTTTAGGAGTTTCCAGCTTTACTGACAAAATTTGATGTCGAAAGAACTTTCGGTTTTCTTTTCACTGGGGAATTCATACTCCTGCCCAAACAGAAAAGGTCAGGGCGAGCATCCCGCTGGCAAAAAAAGACTAGGTGCTTCGTGGGCGCGAAATTTTTTTTGTGAAGATTCTTAGGAGTGTTAGAAGATGTTGTATTTTTGATAGGAAAGCTTTGGAGGTAATGAGTGTGTTCCGCGTCCTGGGAAGAACAGAGGCCTTGAAGTATTATAGTTATTTGGATCAAATGTATGAAAATTTAGAATTACAAAGAAATTCCACTTCTTTCGAAAGAACCGGTTAATCAATAAATTTCGCTTCACTTAAAAAAACCTTGAATTATCAAAACCTTTGGATCCATTGCAAGAATTTTTAGGCACAACAAAGTGGCGGTGGTTCTACAATAGGACTGAGAGGTGTTTCGCGAACTCCGTGTCTTTTAAGGAAAAGCCTAAAGATAAAAAGGAAATCTTTAGCGCTAGCAAAAATTTTGTGGATTTAAAGGAAAGGCTGTCTTGTGGAAAAACTTTAATAATCGATGTTACCGCTTAACCTCTGATAGAACCTAAGGTGCGAAAGGAATTCGAATCGAATGCACGGAATTTTGGAGAAGTGGTTGCTGGAACTTCAGAGGAATTTTGATCACGTTGCTAAGAAGCCTTGTTTGGAAAATATTTACAGAACTTACCGAGTAACCTATGGGTAATCGAGATTAACTTTGGTAAGACTATTAGTGCTCAAAAACGGTGCAGCAAATTGTGAATATTCTTTTTTGTCATTGTACCGTAAGCTGCAACATGAAGCAAATAGTTTTTGTTCAGATGTCCCTATTGTTAGTGTGCAAATAAGTGTAGCTTTGACTCACTAATGAATTGGCCTCAACCCACTTGCTAGCGACCCGTAGGGTCGCTAGTGCTAATATATCATTTGAATCGATTGTTGTACATATTTATACATATTTACGTATTGTAGAAAATCATAGCTGATTGTAGAAATAGTGACTTTTTTGCAGTAGATAGCTCGTTTCAACTGCCTAGAAATTATTTTCGTTCACTGTCACCCAATATACCTTTACAGAACTGCAAAACGAAGTAGCAGCAACAGGGCTCGAACCCTCCACCATATGCTTCGTAGTCCGCTGTCTTGCCACTGCGCCACTGCCACACTGTTGCGTTGTTCTAGCGCCAGGCTTATCACTGGGTGCTCTGGCTGCGCCGGAGGAAAATGGCCTTGTAACTGCCCCCACAAAACCGCTCGGCACCTAGCGAAAGTAGTTATGAGTGTGTCTCACCGAGGACGGTTTTTTAATATACAGCTCTTTCCAAATGGCCACTTCGATCGATCATCCTTCCTTTGTAAGATGTCTAATTCGTTCCTCAATAGCTCCTCAACAGTTCCTCTATTCACTGTTCTGTATTAGTTCGTCTGTATCTCATCAGCTACTCTTATTCTCTGTATTTGCATATCAGCTTCTTTTGTGGTTTGTCATATTTTGTGATAAACCATTTATATTTTACCAGTTGTTCTGCTAAGTCAGTGGAACCTGTAGTTTAGACCGTCCTACCGCCACTCTTGTCATCTTAAGGGAGAATGAGCAGTTTCACTGAAGATCGACTCGATGTTACCTCAACTATGCGAAGAGCTTACTGCGCCCATAATCCAAAGTCACGCGTTGACGAATCTATAGGACATCTTTTCGTGAACGACATCTCGATTTTGTTCGCTCAGAGAGGAAGACGACTTTTCTTTTTTATATACATTCCCCACTATCTCAAGTTTGCAAATAGTCTGAATGTGAATGATTGAGTGAAAAACATCTGGTATGCGGTCTGCATTGCCAAAGTTTGAGACGTGCATGCAAGACCTGTTTGGAGGTGCTTACCAATTTATGAAACATTGAATTGATTAATGGAGAGTATGCAAGAAAACTGCAACTTTGATGGAGCTTGCGTGATTCTCGTTCATCTATTTTGGAGAAATGAATACGTGCTGCTAGATGCATTGCAAACGGCATTCACCATCAGCCGCATCCGGCAGCATCGCGTTAATTCTCGTATTTTGAAACTATAATATTTTTTGACGTTTAGCGCGTGCATCGTATAATTTGTGGTTTTACCCTCGAATGCTCACTGTATTAGCTCTATCCTGTCCTTGTCGCCCCCGTTTGTCCGCCCTCCCCACAACTTTTTTGAAAATGGAATGAAAGCTCATAAAAAAGGTGCTACCCAAGTATATTAGGTTGACGCAGAAGTAATGAGGGTTTCCTCAGTTGTAGTGTGAATATCAAAAATGCTTGAGAGCACTGTTTCCTACAGCAAACTATGCTTTACAAAATCATTACCAGCTATCCGCGTAAATCAAACTCCGTTTGTAGTCTAAAACCAATTCAAATTGGCCAGAAATATTTTTGAAGAGCTTCTACTTAGTCGGCATAAAATATCAAGTCGATTCATAATTAAAACAAGTTTTCGTAACTCTTCTTTCAAACGCTGTTTGTTTTCCAATAAACCAATCATCTTTGACCAAATTTGACTGGATTACGGCCTGCACGGGCACACCTACCCGATCGTGAAATTATTACATACTGCCTCATGTCCTAAAAACTTTTTGAGTTTCAGGCTGTATGTTCAACTTTCTGCGATTGCACATGTTTCACGAGTACATGCAATTTAACGGCGGATTTTCATTGTAATGGTCCTTTCGAAAGAGCCATAATTACCCCAGGAATGAGATGTTTGTTCCCAAGTTTTCATTGTAGCAAGGAGAGGCTATGTGCTCAATACTTACAACGAGAAAGGGGCTATATCTAAATTTTCAAGACGATAAGGGAGTTAGGCACAAGGCTACAAATGCTAAGGCTGAGTTCTAGTCACGAGTTTTCGAAACAGTTCCAGCACAGTTCTCCCACTGTGCTGACTGTGCCGGAACTGAAAGCCAAAAATTGACATCTCGCACCTCAAAACCACATGCGGCGGCTGCATGCTTTGCTTTAAATTAAGTAATGAATTTGATGTACGCCTGATTGAGCGTGAGATAACCAGTCCGTTGGTGAAAGCTCCCCGTGCACTAGAATTGACTTGATCCGTTAGCTCAACCTGTAGGCGAGTTGGTAAGTTCTGCAACTTGTCATAACTTTTCTCTGTATAAATGAAGTGCACCGTATTTTGGCTATCTAGAAAAGATAAGCTACAAATCTGCTCAGGTTTTTGGTTTTTGGTGATAAAAGAAATAAAATGCACATATTCTTAAGAGTTGTCAAACTCAAGCAGCGAACTCATTTTCTTAAGAGTTGTCTCCCCCCCTTGAATTTCAGACCAAATTTGTCAAGGAAAGACTTGTCAAGGAAAGACTGGCTTTGTTTTACCTGAATGTGTAGCGGTGTTTATAGGGGCTATTATAATATTATGCACATAAATATGTATTATATAATATCCTCCACTATACGATATTGGGCGGGCTACATCCTGATTGCTTCGAAAAGCTCGTTCTCGATTTATCAAATTTTCCGTAAGCAATGGCCGCTTCGATTGTTTACAGACAATCCTTCAAAGATCACAACGTGATAGTAACAAGGGGACTTCCAAGTTGTCAAGGGTCTCTGAGCGCAACCAAAGGAACTCTTGCAGCTACGTCCTTTTAGATATACCCGGCCACTGAAGAAGATCGTCCTCGAGCGTCCTTGAGCGCGCGAAGGGGGCTGATGGCAAAGAAAAGTCGCGTAGACTGTGTGCTTCAGAAGCGGAGGAGAAGGATCGACGACGAGGTGTAGGGTCAAGGAAGTGGTGAGGAAACTGTAGGGTAATAATGATCAATTCTGAGCAATTGCACGAGTCAACATCGACTGTCTCGAGGCGATGTAATGATAACAACACATCTATGAAAAAAAAACATGTTCTAAGGAGGTGAATTTTAATCTCGACCATGTGAGCGATTAGAAAATTGGTGGCCTAAAAAAACAAATCCATTTAAGTAGAAGTACATGCGAGTTTGTCCACGTTATTGCTAAAGCATGATCTCGAGGGACAAGTATATTATAGTTCTAGCAAAATATCAACCAGTCCATCATTTGGGCAGAACAATTTTTTAGTAAAATTATTGGAAAGGCAAGAATGTGATTTTACTAATGTGATTTTACTAGAACTGTTTATAGGAAATAATTTCTTCAATCTCGACCATTTCTTTGAAATCGACGGTTCAAAGAGATGCTGACTTCTACTTGAAGCGACGGTGCGACGTAGAATGAGAGAAGTTTACCAGAAATTTAAGGACGAGAAAAAATGTAGACAATTTTCAGCTAGTTATTACTTGTTTTGGAAACCCTCGTAGAACTAGGTCTACGAATTGTCCAGCACGACGAGGGTTTTGCTCTTCATTTTCTGATGTTTCCAGTTGAAAAGGCGAATTGTGGAATAGGATGGAGTGGAAACATTAGCCAATGTGAAGCGAGGACAACAGGTTTTGAGTCTATTTATATGCACAACTTAAAAGGTTTGGTGGCCAATCAAGTGGCTGGCTGGCTTTGTTAGCTTGCTCTATATTAGCGCCATAACTACCTGGTTCGCACTTTTTATGATAGAAAGGCTTTCCACTGAATTGAGAATCTAATACGTCCTGTCGTCATGCGGCAATGATCTCCAGTGGAAATTTCCTTTGTAAAAACTCTACGTGAGTTGTACCTGGTTTGTAGAGTAGGATTTTCTGCGATGCGATATTCAGCTTCCTTGCGCAGATAGCGGGGCAGTTATATATGAAAGCATTCTAAATAAAGGCTGACAGTCGCTATTGGACCAGAGGCGGCGAACGTATGCAAAAGCATAGGTGTTGTATTATGCTTCATAATTTGAAATTTCGTTAGTGTATGCTTTGAATTCTACAGACCAACCGACCGCTTGCTCTATATTAGCGCCAAAACTACCTGATTCTTGAAGCGTGCATGAGTTTATTAAATTGTGCATGCAGTCATGGAAACAAACTCAGGGAACAAACTTGAGGGAAATGCTTCAATTATCTCGCGCAACTGAATAGGTGCCCTTTTGTCTTTTGCCTCCTTTGAACCTCTTGCCGGTGAGCTCCAGGTTGAAAATGCAGGGTCTCTTTTGTTTTCCTTCTTCAATTATACATTGTGATGGGATGTCTATGCGGATTTCCTTGAAGTCACCCTAAACAGCTTTCATATGATCTTATTAGTTTGGTACCTCGACATTTTTCTAATCTTATTGCCTATCAGCAAAGAGAAAACAAGCTGTACCATGTTATGGTTGCATGTGTGAAAGATTCTGAGTTGTGGATCGATTTGAGTTGCCTCTTTGGCACTGCCTGAAACTTGATAAAATCCTCTGCTGTTCGTTTTGACTTCATCCAGCTTTCGGTGGAAAACTGAAATTATAGTTTGAATTCAGCTCACCTTTACAGTTGTAACTCACTAATTTCCTTCTCCCACAGCTCTATCACCGCTGTAGTATCAGGATCGCCTTCACAAAAGATCACCCCTTTTACTGCAACTGACTGTAAAGAACGGAATGGCCAAAAACAGTAACACGATGGGAGAAGGTACAGGAAGATCAGGGTTTGCATCCTGTAATCATGTCTTTTGTCATATGTTGAGTATTGGTTTAAGAAATCCACATAACTAGTAACTGCTACTCCGGTAACTAGTCTGGTAATAGTCATTGGGAAGTTAATTCGTTGGGTCAACCTTACAAGGGAATGGTCAGAAGTCGAAGTGGCCAAACCAAACAAGCTGTATACCATTCGATGCAGTATAAAACGTTGACTTCGAATCTGTCTTTCTTATCTGCTTCCCGCTTCTGTGGACGAAGCTACAAGCCATTAAAGACCATTATTTTGCTAAGAAATTACGCGTGAAATTGAAAATTTAGCCGTGCAGAGCCACGTTCGCCTCACTGCTGGGCCAAAACATGCAGCTAGCCTACTTCAAATTTTTAAAGAAAGAAGCTGAGCTAAAAATGCAACAGTGTGCTCAATTTCGCTGTTTAATGTGTGATTTTTTCACAATAAAACCGCTTGTAGCTTCGTCTACAGAAGCGGGAAGCAGATAAGAAAGACAGATTCGAAGTCAGCGTTTTATACTGCATCGAATGGTATACAGCTTGTTTGGTTTGGCCACTTCGACTTCTGACTTCCCTTGTTAGCAAGTTAAAGTCAACGAGGTAATTAACTCACTAACCAAACCTTTATAACTGCAGATACTGCACTTTGTTACTACATAGAAAGAATCAAGAGAATTTTTTATCAATGTGGGACATTTAAATAATGGAGAGAGACCAATTATTTTTTCACTCATAACCGGTTTCGGGGCTAAGAACTAGATTGGATGTGACTTTTCTGGTGCCCTCGGATATGCAACCCTTTCGTCTGCAGTTCCCAGGAAAGTGCAAAAGAAAGAGTATAAGATAGATGACTATTAGGAAGAAGAAGTAAACCAGCCATGCTGCAAGTCCAATCAGGCAACAACAATCAGTCAAAGGAGTATCCACTAGAATATTTTGAATTCACTAGAGTATCCACTAGAATATCTTGAATTCAATTTTTTCTTACTCAGTAGATAACTGGTATGGAATACTAACTTTCAATACATCAATTCGCCAACTTCATGAAATTCAAGCAAACAGATATGTAGGTATAACACAGTAGAACCATGTTACTCATGCTACTGCGGAAGACTAGATTAAAAAATTGTAAAATCCGTTATTCGCTAAAGCAAACTTCTCAGGACAGCCTTAAATTAATTGAACAAATAAAAAACAATTGAAACTCAAGAAGAAGAAGAATGTTTTTTCTTATGCTTAAACTCGCATGAGAAATTTACAGAAAGTCATCGCAAGTTCGCAGAAAGTTTCTTCATAACTAAAAAACAAGAAAATGAGAACCGGAATGCTGTAAGCAATGCAGTGTTGGCTATTACCACATAAGTAAACCTATCTTTGCAAGCTTGAATAATTTCCAATTTTTTGGCGCTGCTTTTCAAGAATTTGAAATGAGATAAAAACCGAATAGGAGATAACTACATATTTTTTCTCCATATCTTTATTCTATCTCTCCTATATTAGTAACAGGAAAATTCATCGACTGTTCCTGTAAATATGAATAGGACAGCACAGGGTGAAGCAAAAGTCTGGGAGCCCAGTACTTTTTTCAGGTAAAATCAGAAGGATAGTTTCTGGAAACAAAATGTTTGGCGCACACATAAACCGAATCTTTGCAAATACAGCGCAGCTCTCAATTTGAGATTGCCTCTTTTGGCATCAAAACCTTTCGCAATTTTGGCGAATCCGCCTGTCGTAGCACGCAGGCAGTCGATGACGTCTCAGCCTTCATAATAACTGCTTCTTTCAGTGGACAAGTATGCAATGCGATAGAGCAAGCTTTTGGCTACAACATATTACGTTTGTTGCAATGTTTAGGAATATTGTGGAATTTTTAGCGAAGCAAGTGTACTTGCATATTGGAAATTTGGGTGCGATTGCGCGAAGGGGAGCGAAAAATCATGATCTAAAAAGTATTGAAATTCCTCCATTTATCGAATTTAATTAGATGCTTTCAACGAAAATTCATGGAAAGAATATAACCAAAAACTCAGCACCTGCTGCGCTCCTATAGCTTTCAGATTCATTTCAAAGAGACCACATAGGTAATATCCGCAAATTTTGATTTTTCGTTTTTTTTTGAAAGTTTCGAACGCAACTACTATGATTTGATAGCGCCCTCCTCCATATTGTCTGTATAGTATCGTAGAACAATCACAGGATCTTTAGCTACCATATAAATTGTGAATAAAGTTTTCATTCGCTTCAGTCGCTTTGCAGAAGCACTTCTTTGATAAATCCACAGTTCTTACAAAAATATATGGCTAGCATTTCCAGTTAGAGAGTGTGATTCGTAGAGGATGATCGCGGTATCACGTGGCACAAATTTGGATTCAAAATCAGAAGTGGTCTCGTGATTTATGATACTGCAAATCCAGCTCCCTGAGGTTTGCCCCACGCTTTATATTCGTAACTTGAAGGCGGAGGAATTTTTTGACAGAAATTCAATGATAGGATCTTTGAAATTTTTTGTGTTTTGGCCAGGGCTCGGCATGAGGTGGCTAGTTGAAAATGCAAAAAACGAAGTCCCCCTTGACTTCGCCACAAAAGTACGACATCCCCCTTGACACGTTAACGAACAAATCAAAAATGAAAGCAAAAAGAATGGAATAGAATAGAAGACCGACAAAAAATAGGCAATAAGAATCGGTTATTGTTTGTATTATCCGGATTGGCGGCATGCTGTGTCCGCCGCGCACCACCGCGAGCTTGGAGCACCTTTGCCGCTGCCATCCAGATAATTTGGAGGACTATAACTAGACGGGGAGGAGAGGGTTTGAGGAGGTACAAGAGCTGTTTTGTGGAATATTAGATGTAGATTACTTCTATGTAAAAAATTTGAAAAAATTATGTGAAGACTAGGAATTATATGAATCTGTTTGCGCTAAGCCACCTCAGGTGGCTATCCAGGTGGCTTGAAAACCACCTAACCCCGAAAAATTTGCCATGCCCTTAGTTCACATAATTTTTTCGTAATTTTTCATACATAGTCCCAACTCCCCATTGCCCATCTACACACCTACTTTGGTGCCATTTCATCTTCACTTCGCTGTAAACAAACGCTTTGTTTATTTGTTGGCGGCATGCCGGCAGCGTGCCGGCAGCAGATCGAAAGACAGCGTTATGCTCCTCCGCAAAAACGATATCCCCTTTGCTTTTTCCCCCAAAAACGATATCCAGCTTGCTTTGCAAGCCACCTGTGCCGAGCCCTGGCCTTGGCTTCAAAATTCTCATGAATGGAACCTTGAGTGAATATGCTCTAACTCCCTCTTGTAGTACCTGCTTTGCTCTAACAAACAATCATGCAACAATCTATGGGAAAACCATCAGTGTAATAAAACGGATGCATTAGATTTTTCAAAAATTTACACCTTTTTAAGGAAATTTGTGAAAATAAAAAACACGAGTGGGAAGGCATATCCAATTGATGTTTTCCAAAAGATGTCCCAAGGTTTGAGCGTTGATCTCTATTGCGCTAGTGTCTTTCGCCAATCTTCAGGTGGTACTTGTAGAGTTGGCTTCAACTTATTTTTAGAGTGTAGAAAAGCCACCAAATCTTCATATGTTACTGTCGACTTGCGGTAGGAAGTTTGAAATTTTGTATAACATGGACAAAATCTCGTTTCAGAGATTTCATATGCACGTCATCCCCGCTGGGAAGGGTAGGGGTGAAAGGGAAAGCGTAATCCCTAGATAATTCTTTCTTTATGAGGGTTCTACATTCTAACCACTAGGTGTAACGAATAATAGAATATTACACAAAATGGGATTTCCAGTGTTTCTCGTAACATCCTCAGTATATCACCCATCATTTTCGAAGTTCTCTATCTTTCCAGGAACTCGATGAAATCGTACAGTTGTGCCGAAAATTTACCTTGACACTGCTAGGAATGTTTTCGACAATACAAGTAGATTGTGCAGGTTGTGAATTTTCGATGAACAAAAACAAAGGAAACAATACTCATTGCTTCCTGACGCTCTGACAGCAAAACGCCAAACGAAACTATTTCGCGAAATAATTGAAAGACAACAAAAGTTTCGAAGACACGAAAGTGTATGGGCAGAGATTGCGTCGCAACGGCTATTTATGTGAGCAGCTTTACAATCGCATTATATTTTGGTTTCTGACATAGAAAAATGGTAATTGCATTGTTGTATCGGCGAAATTAGCGTCCCGAAGCATTGCTGAATTATGGGTAAAAGATTAAAGCTTTGAAACATCAATTCGAAACGTTAACGACCCAGCAAAAAATTTGACAAACATTAATGATTCTACGAAACATTTGAAAACGGCATAGCGATAAAATATCAAAAAACACAAAAGCGTCCGCATAAAGTAAAAAACTCGAGCCTTCCCTCCTCCTTCTCTCCTCATTTTTTACAATCTAGTCTGAGCTTTCTTCGCTGTATCAAGTTTCCGTCTAAGTGAACTCATTTGAGGAAATGTTGCACTGCTAGAGTAAGAAATTGTGCCATATTCTTCATTTTCAATATTTAAAACGTTCTCATGAGGCCGCAGAGCTATGGAGCTGCTGAATTAAGGAGTTTGGCTTTTGTCAAGTCAGTGTTTGTTCTGAGCATAGGTCGTTCTTTGGCAACCATATGCATCAGCGTTGTGTATTGCTCCAAAATCATAAAGACAGTTGGACAGGAGGAATTTTTCATCATTCAGTTATACAACTGAAAGCAAGTGAATTGCGCATTTTTTACTCGTTATAGTGTAACGCAACGAGATATTAACATGTTCTGATATTTGCGCATTTTCTGAAATTTATAGCCCACTTCTCTGATAGAAAATGCGAAAGAGAAACAGCCGCGCAGACTTCTACAACAAACAGATACGTTCACATATAACATTCAGATGCAGCGCGTCCAGCTGGCTGCGAAAGGTAGAGCTTATAGTTGAGAAGGGATCTGTTTACATGGACTATTCGAAAAACGCAATCATTCAATCATTCGTATCGAACAGTTGAATATCTGCATCATACAGGGTGTCCCAAAAGTGAGTACACACTTTCCAATCGTTAATATCTCTCTTCCCATTGTGTCTTTTTCCGCCATTTAGGCACGATTCTGTAGAGGAGCTTCAACTTAGATTTTCAATATCGAGCGAATCACCAATCGCTCTTCTGCACTGTAGGATTACTGTAGAAACTTCGATAAAGATTTTAGGCCATTGGAAGCCATATTTTGCCTCGGAACAAAACCAGACAAGCCAAAACTCTTATACTACGGTAATGGAAGCCGCTAATTTCGGATATGAATTTCCACTTTACTGTGATGCGTCTTTCAAAGTTATCCCAGATAAACCGTAATAACCGAATTCCCAGTATTCGTCAACAATATGATTACTCCGTCAAAAATCTGAAAACACTCATAAGAAGTTGTGTAGTGCAATCAGCGTATGCGAAAACCCTAGTACATTATTTTTCAGATTTTTTGAAAAATTTTTTGTTGAATGGCATATTTCACAATGTTTCACTTATTGGAAGTTCGTACAGTAATCCTACAGTAACGAAGAGCGATCAATAATTCGCTTGTTACTGTAACTCTAAGAACTCTAAGTTGAAGCCTCCTCTACACAAGGTGCTTGACTGGCAAAAAAAAGACCTACTGCAAAGAGAGATATTGACGATTGAAAAGTGTTACTTACTTTTGGGACTTCCTGTATATTAAAGCGTTCTCCATATTACTTGACCGTTTGAATACAAAATATAATATGTAAATATATATAGAAAATATATTTAAAAGATACAATAGGATCAAAAAACACATCAGGACCCTCGCCGATCAATCACACAAATGATTTATTACCCATTGAAATCGTCAACATGCTTCATTTTTATAAGGTAATCGCGAATTGTACTAGAGCATAGTGAGGACAACTATTATGCTTTGTTTGTATTGATGGAATTTCTTTTGGAGAGGCATCTGCAGCAATTTCGATATACACTATCATGCGCGCAATTACTCCAACCTTCAGATTCTGGATGAATAAAACCGCACTAGGCACCACTTCCAGGACCACTGTTCCTAGCACGCTTGCATAAGCATGTTCGCAAGAATTGTAGTTATTGATGACAGCGGTATTGGCAACATTAGCTGCTTCATCCGAGATCTGCACTTATTTTTTGAGTCTTTGATCGCTGCCCGCTCGTAACAGTGTCCAAAAGATACGTCAGCGCAGCGCAAGAGGCAGATCAAGTCGGTTGCGAGGACGTAGCTCTGGAGTTGTGGCTGTAGCTTGTGTCAAGAGTTAACATAATCACATGCTGCCTTTATAGTCAGACGTCAAAGAAACTGGATGTTTCATGTTCATAAGTTAGAAAAGTATTAAATTTTATTTAGGAATAACATTTGTATAGTGTGCAGCTCGTACAATAAGTATTTCTAAAGGAATCTATGGTAAGGATTGAAGAACCTTTACATCAAAAATAGAAGCTTCAATAGTACAATTGAGGCAACTTCGATAAGTAGGTTAGCAGCTAATATACAGTTACTAGCAAAAATTGCTTTTTGATTTAGGTGCATAAAGGTTACTGCATGACGAAGGCGCAGAAGCAGCATTGGTCGAACGGGAGCGAACGCGGCGCGCGTGTCCTCACAGTTGTGGTTCCTCCCCTTCACGCGCTCTGCGGATGATAAAGCCACGTTCGCGCCCAATGATATTGCACCTTCGTCATTCAACAGACTATACAAATTTCGGTTTTACAAATACCAGCGAGCCACCTCTGTTGCGGAGGAGATCGTGCAGGATTTTCATGACACGCATGTCTTTCAAGTCCAGAACTGATTATTGCGAGGTAATAAACTATGTTACGAACTACAAATTCCCTCGGATCCATGTATACTTGTGTATGTCTGTCTGTCTCTCTGTTTGTTTGTCTACGTTTCCGAATAGAAAATTCCATTTCTGAATTGATCTAGACCAAACTTGGCACACACACGTCGGGGCGGGGCGGGTGCCATAGGCCACTTTTCGTCATCGATCGATCTCGATTTTATCAATTTTTGACGTTTTTTGAAGTTTGACTTGCAGAGCTGGAAGTTGACACACGGGGGTAATTGAGCATGCTGATTATGAGTACAGTAATAGTTTTTAGATTAATCCGTTACCTTTACCTATTTTATCGATTTTTTGCAAAGTTTGAGCTACGGTGCTGGGAGCTGGCACAGGAGGAAGTGAGCATGCTGATTACTAACACAGCGGGAATAGGGAACTGGCATGTAGAAGTGGGCACAGGGAAAGGTTGTAAAGGGAGGATAGGGCCTTTATCATAGTGCTAACACAGCGGGAATAGGGAACTGGCATGTAGAAGTGGGCACAGGGAAAGATTGTACAGGGAGGATAGGACCTTTATCATAGTGTTAGAACAGGGCCGGGCGGAGCCTGGTAAGCCAGCTAGTGTAGTATAAAACTAATGGCGGCCTAAAATAAATTATAAAGTTCTTCCTACTCACAAGGCCTGTCTCTTTGCCCATCTTTCGATCGAGCAGGAATGTTCGGGTATTCTTATTCATGATTCCTCCGCCGTTTCGTATATCTTTTAATGGTAGATTACATGAACTCCAAACAGGAACGTAGGCTTATGAATGAAAGCATAGGGTGTACAGGGTGTCAAGAAATCTGTTAGGGTGCCTTCATATCGCGCCGGCAGCCGCCGCTAGCAGCCCATAGCAGCCGCCAGCAGCCCGTGGCAGCCCATAGCCGCCGCTGGCCGCTTTTGTTATAGGAGCAAAATCGTCAAAATCTTACTACTTTAAGTGCTCCCGCCTACGCTTTTCATCTTCTACGCTTACTTCTTATTACCGCTAATATGCAGACAACCCCCCCCCCCCGCAATCAGGGCCCGGCACGAGGTGGGCAAACGGGGTTTTTCAAAACGAATTCCCCTTTGATCCCAATAAATTTTACGAATACCCCCTTGAGTCCAAAAATGACGTTTTGTGCTTGTGCGACGAGATTACTGGCCACACTTCGCCTAAAAGCGCTCAAAAGCGCCCAAATTGCTCAAATTCCTCAAATTACTCCTCCTGTATCAAGATAGGAAACAGGAAGAAAAATAAGCAAGAAAAATGATCAAGGAATGAGAAAATATCAAAGAAACGCAGTCATAGGAATGAGAGTCGCCGTTCCCGCGCGTATCGATTGACTGGGGCGCGCTTTCCATCATAGAAAGCCAGGCTGCTGATGTGATTTTGGGCTCTAACAAGGACAAGAGGAGGAGTTTCGGAACCAAAATTTCACCATGTAGTAAACTTTAGGTGTACAAGAGATTTATGTAAAAATTTTGAAAAAATTATGTGAATTGAGAGTTTTGCCGACCTCAGGTGGGAATTAGGTAGGCAAATGCCGACCTAATTTGGAAATTAGTTAAGGAAACTCTTCATTCACATAAGTTTTTCATAATTTTTCATACTTTGTTACTTAGTCCTATTGCGCACATACACACCAAGTCCCGTGCGATTTCGTTTCCTCTGCGTTGCAAACGAGCCATTTTTCCATTTTCTTGATAGTGGGAAATTTCCAGACAAAAGCTTGCCACAACATTCAGTCACATAATTTTTCAATGAAACTTCTAAGTTAAGCCCTGCAGGCCCGTGTTCATCTACCTACCAAGTTTCATACCATATCGTCATCTGTGCGCTGTAAACGAGCCGTTTGAATTCACATCTTCATTTACCAGTTTTGCAAAACTTTCGGAATAAATGCTAATTACTCGTTCCGTTCACATAAGTTTTTCATAATTTTTCATACTATGTTTCCACTAGCCTCTCTCCGTTCGCATACAAAATTTGGTGCCATATAGTTACACATACATTGAGAACTAGCCATGTATGCAGTTACAAATAGCATCGCTTGGGCAACGTCGCGCGTGCGGCAATTAGCGACGGTGCGGTTTGACGCGCGCGAACTCCAGTGTTCGCCTGTTGAGGCACATAACATGTCAAGATAAGTAGCGAGCATGAACTACCAATTTTTTCCGGGGCTCCGCCCCGGACCCCGCAAAAACGATTTCCCCTTTGCTTTTTGGCCCCAAAACGATTTCCAGCTTGGCATTTGCCGACCTCGTGCCGGACCCTGCCCGCAATACATGTTCTGTTCCGCACATTGTATCCTATCGCGCTCACACTCTTTTGCAATCTGCCTCATTAAGAAAGACGTGAGCGATTGTCAAAGCCAGAAGCTCAACCCGCAAATAAATCGGCAAACTCGCGAATTAGTAGAATGCAAGTTAGATATGCATCGATAATCAAGAAAAAATTGAGGCAAAAGCATACCCAAAAAACAAATTGCACACCGCAGGAACCGGACGCATCCAAAGTCAGAGCGAATTACACCTGAAAAAATCTTCAGCGGACTATGGTTCAACGGGATTACTATACGGCGAGAAGGTAGATATTGACAACAATTGGCACATACATATAGATATGTGGTCAAACTGCGTGCTAGCGGCAACAAAAGAAAAGTGTAGAAGATAAAAAGCGTAGATAGGAGCACAGAAGTTGTAATTCTAATAATTTTGCTTATATGACGAAAGCGGCCAGCGGCGGCTACGGGCTGCTACGGGCTGCTACGGGCTGCTGGCGGTTGCTACGGGCTGCCAGCGGCGGCTGCCGGCGCGGTATAAAGGCACCCTTAGTCCTCAAATCTTCCAAACACTTTTATTAATGATTTTGAGGATTCGTAAGTACAAGTCGTTAGGACTGATTCAAGCTTGAGTTTGAATCAATTAACATCACTCCTACGGTAAGAGCTTTTGGCACATCAGATTTGTGCATTGTAAATAAATTGTAAATGTATAAATATATATAGTAAATATTAGGTTGTCCCGAAAGTTTTGTCGGTTTTTTCAAATCGCTATAAAACCACGCACAATAAAGAACTGAATGAGTTTAAACATGCATTCGATGCAGCTTTTCCATCTCTTTTTTATGGTTACATTTTCTAGCCATAATCCTGCATTATTTTTCCGATAAGTGCTAAAATTTTTCACCCATCATTTTTATCTGCTCAAAGTTCGACTAATTTTCACAAATTTCATTTCATAGTTATGGAAACATTTAAGTATGGAACAGATAAAGCAATTCTCGGACTACATGGTATTGTTTTTAGATTCTCCTAACCTGCTATTTTTAGCTCTAAAACAATCATTTCTTCCAAGGTATCGATTTTTGGCAAAGTCATGAAACACGCAACTGCAGCAAAAACATGGAAGCTTTTAGAATTTCTGCGAATTGGTACTTGTTTTTTATTGAACACTTTTTATGCAATCTATCCAAGTTTGATCTGTTTTGAAAAATTACTTTTTGGAGTTTTCGGTATTTTTACGTGTCAAACGTAATCAAAATGCCTTAGTTTTTCTTGAATAAATTATTATTACGGACTTGTTAAACGCGCTCCACGTAATCCATAATATACACAATGTAGCCAAATGTTTGCTCTGCATAACAGCTACCAGCGCTCTTTAGAAATATCAAAATAAAAATTTTCGAAATTCAGGAAGGGTTTGACAATACTGCAAAGCTGCTCGAAAAGCCGTGACGATAACATTGCAAAGACAGAGTAGATCAGAAAGCAAATATAGCTGTAAGAAAGAGGATAAAAATATGAATTAAGTGATACCCAGATCGTCCACATATTGGTGTTCTGTGGGTTTTAGTGAGCGATGAAGAAACCGACAAAACTTTCGGGACAACCTAATAATATATTATATGTAATATACTTATTATATAAATATATATAATAAATAATAATAAATGAATGCATTGTAAATCAGCTGTCTCAATCGAAAGTTTGAGGTTTGTGATGGGATTGAGAGCGCTGTTCAATGATAAAATCAAAGATTGTGCATAAGGTTTGTAAGGCTGTTCAAATGATGTAACAAGCAGCCGTTACAGTATGCCTAGAATGACTTTGAACGAGAAATTTTTAAAATGGATGTTCTAAAAGAATCATGGGTTCATAATAGCATCTACATAACTTTAAACGAAAAACGGGTGATTTGTTCCGCTTCATTCTGGCTTTATAAAATTGGCAACGAGTATACGAAAGACGCCTTGACAAAACTTTCACATATCTTTTGTGTCGCCCTGAATACGCAATCGAGTGAGCCAGGGTAACTTCAAATAAATCATTTGCAAAAGCGGAAGTCCGCTGCAATTTCATGCTCCGTATTTGTTGTACTAAAATGTGGTACGCCTTCATAACATGGAAAGCACAGTCATTGTTTGTATTGTGCATCCTTCCATATGAAAGTGAGATTCATTTTTATCCACGCCAAGTCAGCGTATTAAAACAACTATATGTCATTTTCAAATTTGGCCGTTCATTGCTTTAAGAAAATGTGGCACAGAAAATGATATCAAGTTTACCATTAGGAAACAATTACTGGCAAGCATGGTCTAGGATTCTTTTGAACCAGAGTTGCAGGAAGAAATATGATAATTATGAAGCTGTAAATGAAGCTTTTTTCCGTGACATCTTCTTGGTAATTCAAACATTATCCTCATCATGCGGACAGTATGAGCGGCTCCACAACTTTGGCGAGGCGGAGCTGCGCTAGCGTGCCTTGCGTTGCGGTTGCCCTGTGCTGAGGCATACCTGATCCATCGATCTTTGGTGAAGATCACGACCCCGCCTCGCCAAAGTTGGGGAGTAGGTTATACATTTAGTACAAGTACGAGTACATTTACATTTTCATTTCCTTCGTCTCTTCCGAAAAGCAGAATTGGTTTAAACCTGATGCGGCTTCTCTTTCAACGAGTTAAAAAATTTGACTTTATAAAGAGTTTATCAAACATCTGTCAATATAATTCTGCGAGAAGTCTGGTGGGTTTATGCAATGATTTATGCTTTCCGGAAATTGTAGAACATCCAGAGAATACGGTTTAGCCTTGGGAATCATTTTGTACAGACTTCAAGCTAGGTTTATCGTATGAAGCGAATCAACTAATTTCTTTCATTACTGTAGAATTACGGTGTGAACTCCAAGAAGGGTTTTGAACAAGTGAGGGCCTTATTTCGCCTTGGAAAGGAAACCAGACAATCTGGAAACCCTTACATTATGCTAATTAAAGTCGCTAGAACCAAATATGAACTTTTGTTGACCGCGATGCTTCCTTCATGACTTATGCCTGGTAAACGTAATAGCTGTTTTTACGATGCTCCCTAAATTTGCAATCACACCCTTTAAAAAGGTTTACAAACTCCTAGAAAGTTAAGTATGGGAATCAACAAAAGTAAAAAACCCTGGTACACACTATTCAGAACTTTTGGAAAAATTTTTTTTGAAACACGAATAAAACCACAATGACGCTGTAAGCCAAAAGTTCCTACCATTACCCTACAGTGTCAAAAAGCGATTGGGGGAGACGGCCCTTCTGAACCCACCGTCTACTACAGTAACCCCGCAAGTGGGACGCTAAATCTTCGGCGCACTTCGAGGTTTCCATTTTCAGCATTCAAATCGAAACACAGTAATCCCCATCTTATCAAGTCCCGTTTCTGTAATGTTGCC